TTAATACGAAGCATATTTCTCATTTTGTTCCTGGTAATTGCTACGATTATCTTCAGCGCCCTTAAAGCTTTGAGAAAGCTCAATAGGGGCTTAAAATATTTAAAAGAAAGGTGCGCTTTTGATTCCTCTAATATTCACGAATTCTGTTTTTCTGGTTTTGAGGTATTCCATTTTATTGTCATAATTTACGTGATACTTGTATAATTGTTGTAAACGTTGATTTACTTATTTGTTTAACTGTAAAATTTTTAAGTGAAAGTGTAAAAAGTGTTGCAGTGCACAATTCTTTGTTAGTAGGAGTAATGCAGTGAAGTGTGAAACTCATCAAGTGTAAAAACGACACTTCGTTACAAATCGTAACTGGCATTTCAATAAGTTAAACTTTCCGCGAAGGAAATCTATAAACAATAATTGAAGAACTATATACTAGGCTGTTCGAACTTGAAAAACTAGAAGTAAGGGAGCATAAACAGGCTATAAAGGGTAATGGTTCAGAATAATCTTGCGTGCGAACTGCTTGAACGCCGTCCGAAGTAATTAATTACCAAGCTTTATTTCAATTGCTGAAAAAATTAGGACTATATAAAGTTTATTTTTCTAGATAAATATCAGGTTTAAGTTTTATGTAGTCACAAAACGTACATTTAGTTCACGCAATGAAGAAATGTTTTTATTCTCCAGCTAAGTTAAGTTAAATATAGTTTTAGTGCCATAACTTTTTATCTGAGTGCGACATCGAGTAAATCAAAGTAAATACCAATTAAATTTATTTGTACTGTTACCTTCAAGGAATTTTCAGTTTAAATATTTTAAGTCCTTTTATAGAACGAAAAGGGACCGATCTGACTTCTCTTTTGTATGCAGATAATTTTGAATATGTAGCTTACGTAGTTTATAGTATTGGTAAAAACTTTTTGATCTTTATTATAATTATACTCATGAATATATATTTTTAAACATGTTGAAGTCGAAAAATTTAATTATTATTCATAAACGCCATAGCTTTATATTTCTGCAATATTTATACAAATTATGTTGTATCATTTTATTTTATGTTGAAACAGACATTTATTTTGTTATGCTCTTTGCGTTTAGATTTATTTATGTTCGGGGTTTTTAACAATAGTCGCAACAGGGCTCTGTCGAAATCGTTACCACCCTGTACATGATTGATGGCGGTGGTAATATTTCAACATATTGAAAGCGTAAAAATACCAGGGTAACCAAAGCCTTTATTATATATATTTTTTACATACATTAGTCTTTGTACTATTTCGAGAATTTTTGATTAAGGTAATTATGTTTTTTTACCTGTACTGTAATGATTTATTAGTCTAATATACAATGTTATAAATAATGTTACTTTTGTCTTACTTATTATTTATTGATTTTGTCTAACCTAAAAGTCCGGCAATGCTACTGAGTTTGGCATCACTGGTGTCCTTTTTTTTTACACCTTAAATCTTAGTTTTCTCTTTCCATTATAGATTTTTTTAAATACTTTAAATAAAGGAATTTTAGTGGATTTATAGTTCTTAAAATTACATTTAAATAGCTCTACTTTAAAAACAATATCAAAGCGGAAAATTCGGGACACAATTTAACTTAGATAATTTCATTTCCGTTAGTAACTAGAGTTGGTATTGTTCCTCGTAGCGTAATTCGCTTCGAACTTGATAACTGCCGCTTTCAACGTTCAAATATCACATTACGGCTTCTGACAAAATTGTATTAAGAGGGCTAAAACAATTAATCAAATAGAAACCGATACGTTCACTAAAATAATTAAGCAAAGATGCTTAGAGCGTGCGCACATTTTTGACTATACTATAGCACAACTCTTTACTCGTGCTTTGATTTCTATGAGCTTATATGGAGGTGCGCACACTACTCGCTTTCTAGTGCAAACTGTTGAATTTACTGCGAAACGATTGACTATCGCACTAGTTTAGTCAACGGTGTGCGCCCGCTCTTAAATGCCAACTAAAGTCATAAAACAAAAACCTATTTATTTTATCGTAACAAAATAATAAAACAAAACACAATATCTGAGACTTTTATTTATTAAATGTTTCAAACGCTACTAAAATCCTTTGAAAAGTAGATAAACTAATAATTAACTTAATTTTCGATGTTAAAGATGAAAGTGAGTCTCAAAGTCGGTATAGACAGCGGGAGTTCTCCGCGTCTTGTGGAAATTCAATAAGTTTTTTTCAATCTAGCTAGACGTTTATATGAATTTATTTCGTTGAAGTATAACTTTTTTATCTCACAAATGTGTTTAAGCTATTACTTAGTCTGTGCTTTTTTTAAGTAATGTCCTAAGTTTATTACAAATCTGATTCTTCTGCGTTATTTAACAGCGCAATAGTTAAGCTCTTATGCTACGTAGCTACGTTTGCTACGGATTTCTGCTACGTCTTATACGTAGTTGCGTAGCGACGTTATAATCATAATTTGTCTGTTGTAGATTATTCGACAAAAACTGTTTGATATCGAAAAATAGGGTATTGTAAATGTAAATTCGTGTAATATTTTACATAATAGGCCTTATTGAGTTTCAATAAATTTTGATACAGGCGCTTTTCTTTTGTTATCTGAAATGTAAAATATGAAGGTCACGGTGATTTCTTTTCATAGAAATTTCTTACATTTTAAATTCTTGTTAAGCAAATAAAAGTTGCGTAAGCATTTATTTTATTGAAACCAATATTTTTTGGCAAATAAGTTTTTGTGAGAATTCAATTCAATAAGTCAATAAGTCTCAAGGTTAAATACTTAGAATATTTGTATGTCATCGATTTGTTAATGATATTTATTCAAATGCTGTTCAAATAGCGGGTTTAAAGCAAAATATTTGACTTACATAAGAACCTTGTTAAATGCATCTTGCATTTGACAGCGCTCGTTACTGGAGATTTTGTCATCTGCATTTACTTTGTCATTTTACGTAGTAGTTTTGTAATTTAAGTTATATTTACAAAACGAGATGTTATGGTACATCTTTAGGGCTTTCAGAACTTTTTTAATAAATAATTAAAACACTATTTACCGACCAAAAAACAAAACAAAAATTATGAAGTAAAAATCAGTTCGTTGCCTCTAGCTTATCACTTAAGCAGTACTGATTTTCAGTCCTCTATAACTAGTCAATATAAAAAAAACTATGTCTTACATTTCTTGTCTCTGACAAGACAACTAGGATACTTTAAACGTTTATTATCATACGAAGAGTTCTGTGACAATACGAAGTATGTCGGGATGACGTAATTCGTAATGTCAAAGTATTTTTTTTTGTTCCAGGAGGCGAAGTAACGCAATACAATGTGTTACTTCAGCATAATACTGATTATCTTCGATTTAAGCGATTGGTTGTGAATTACTGATAAGAGATGGCGCCTCGAGTCGTAAAGTTGTGGATACTATTTACGTTTTGTTTATCTGGAACCACTATTGGTAAGTTATATCGAAAACAAAGTACACTAAATTAGACATTTGTTTACAATTAAGGCAACCTAGGATTTTAATATAAATATGTGGAGTTTCGTTTGAAAACATTGTTCCTCAAATTCTATTTTTTTTAATATATTAGTATACATAAAATGACGTCTAAATATATTTTTTATGTAATTTAAACTCCTTATTTATATTATAAAAAATCCTCTCGTAGTCACGAAAGCGAGAAACGTTACGTATAAATAATTCATACAAAGCTAACCGCACATATCCTGAATATGTTTATGGTAACGAAAAAGGTAAGGGTATATTTTTTTACAACATATTTATCTAAAATCATATAAAACCATATCTTGATTAGATAGACCAGATGTTTAGTCAATTTTAGTGTCAACATCTAAAATACCTATTGCTTACTTAATAAGTAACCAGAAACTTAAACTACGAGTATGTAAGAAATTAAAAAATGAAATTGCATATCATGTCTTATGGTCTTACTAATGTAATGAAAATGAAGAAATCGTGTATTTGTATGTAACAAATAAACACAAAAACTATTTGATCGATATCAAAAATTCTTTCACTAATTAGCATGTTATCAATAAGTAACATAGGAAATCTATACTACTATAATAAAGCGTAAACACACACTTCTTTGTTGCCTAAGATGTCAGCAATTATAGCATATTTTTGAATAATTCTTTTTTTTTAATAAAAAGCCCTACACTTACGTCACGCTTTAGGCTATATATTGTCACGCCAATAAACTTAGGGGGTATTTTGTATAAAATACCTTACGTGGGAAAGAGACCATGATTTGCTGCCAACATTAAGGAAAAAGATTGCCAAGGTTTGTCATGTCATGTCAGTTTGACATTTGCTATTGATAATTTGATAAATGTAAACAGTGAAATAAATTTTTCATAATTTCATGAGGATGAAGCCGTACGGGAACAGCTAGTTATGTTATATAATTAAAAGTAAAGGACCACAAATACAAAGAAATGTCTTTTAAAAATATCAAACTGAAAAATTCCTACACTATTATAACCGTTTTTAATAAAAGAAGCAAGAGAATAGTCTCAGATTTACAGATGGAAATGGATTGCGTTGGTAAAAATAAACTATGTCCGGGATGGAATTGTCCATCCAAGCAATTTCTCCCGGAAACGGCATCTCAATACCGACTAAAGGAAGCTCTGCGAGGCAAAATTTGCATTTCATCGGTTTACACTGCCCTAGTACTTGCTCTTCAGTAAATAAAAGTCTCTTCCAAGTTTTTTAACGATAGCGTCTGTGCGAATAAATGAACTAGCTGTACTTTTTTAACTCAAAACAATCTTCATTATTTCTGTATAATCAAGTCGAATAATGTTATAGACTTTTGTCATTATTACCTTGGCATCAGGTTTTCATACATATCGATCTGTCATTCGTAATTTCAGTCGCCACTCCACGCTACGCCTTCATCAAAAGCCGAATCTTTAGTTTTTTTTTTAATAACAAAGATAATTTAATGTATAAGTGAGCGATGTGATCCTGTAATCATTGTTTACAGGATCAATATCGCTTTGGCTCCTTAACTAGGAAATTAGCTAATCTAATTAACAGCATTTATTTGAAAATAATTACTCATTGTACTTCTATTGTTTCTTACTGTAAGTTTCCATTGCTTAAATATCTGTATAAAACTTTAATCCAATTTATTTATCTGCCAGCAACCATTGGCAGGGTATCAATGTTCACTCGTGTCCCAAGAGTGCCGTAAATGTTACCGACTAAGTTATTGTTGTTAGAGTGTAATCTCTTATAGTAATAAAACTATTAATGTAAAGAAATGCAATACAGTTAATTCCATAATTAAGAATGTAGATTTTATGAAATATTCTACCGAATCTTAATGCTTATTAGCCAACATTTAAATCTAATATTTTAATATCTCCGTGAACTATACAATTTTGCAATAATCAAAAATATCTATGAATCAAAATGTATTGTTGCAATTTAAATGGCGCAAATCTATGCGTATCTATGCTATCTCAATAGAATATGCTTTCAGTTGTAGAAATTGAATACAAAAATCTATATACCGTAAGTGCCAAAGACTTTTTGAGGTAATAAAAGGTTTTTGTTTAGTGACAGGCATGTCGGATGTCTGGGTGGAGCTGCGGGCGCCGCGCTTCGTTGTGCATCGGCACAACGCGGTGCTGCGTTGCGATCACAACGTCGACCCGGACTCCCTCTACAAGGTATGTACTTTGTACAGAATGTGTAATAAACGTGTAATAGACCATAGTGTGTAATTGTGAAAAGACGGTAAGTGTACAAAGTGTATAAAAGCAAGCTACAATTACCTTTTAACATTGAAATAATATTGTTCCTCTTGTTTTCGATAATACGTAATTTATACCATTATACTTTAATAGACTAATTAATTTTATTAAATATGGTGAACAGGTAGTGTTTTTCAAACACGGTCAAAGGATAATGAAGTACGTGCGCGGAAGGGACCCTCCCTTTGAGACCTTCAATTTTACCGGCGCTGAAATTAACGTAAGTTTTGATGTAGAATCCTTGATAATTTAAATTGTGCGTACAATTTAACGAAATTAGTAATCAAATTTGTTAATCTACGTAACATAATAAATTTAAAAAGTGTTTGGTTTTCCCTCCAAGATAATTTCAGTTTAACGTAAACACGGCTAGTCAAAATTATCAAATTTTTTATGACAATTTCATTGTATTTTAAAAATATACTCGTATCAAAAAGTTGAGACTTATTTTCATTTCAGTTGATAAAGTTAACGCCGACTTCCATAACGTTGGAGAAAATGGATTTCTCGGCTTCGGGGTCGTACGCCTGTGAAATTGCACTCGAGACGCCTTTGTATTCAAAAGTGTCCAAAATACATGAACTGAATGTTATTGGTGAGTACCCTATTTTACACTTTGATGCGTACAAAACATTTTCCTATAAAATAACTAAAAAAAAAATTAAATAACAAAGTGATTTTATGGATAATTTTTCGTAAAACCTTTTCAAGCCGAACGCTGAAGCCGATCGTGCCTCTCTATCGCTTGTACCGCGCTCTTGCTCGCACGTTCAGGAACGTGACAATGAGTCATGCTTTTTCATGCATGCAATCAGCTGTTATCGATTTACAAAAAAAGGTTAATTTCGTAAAATGCAACCATTATCTATTATGTTTCTGGTTGAAAATGAAATGAATTATCTTTTACATAATTTTCGCTTTTTAAACTCAATGAAATCGAGAGCCAAGTGTAATTAAGACACAATTAAAAACGAGCGTGAAAACAAAATGAAAACGGTTTGCGGTTATTCTGGCTGTTCAGAAATAAAACTTTTAACAATCCTCTCGTTAGTGTCCGTAAAAAATCAATAATTCCTTTCTCTCATATGCACCACTGAATGTTTTAATTAAAATCGTTTTCATCTGGTTGTATTGTATTTTAGTCCGCCAGAAGTACCGTCCAAAAATTAAAATAAAGCACAAGAAAGTATCGTCCAGCGAGAACTTAGAAGCTACTTGTCAAAGCGCCCCCGCGCACCCCGCACCTCACCTCACCTGGTTCATTAACCATATGAAGGTATGTCCATCTATCTGATATTTGACAGTTGTAGAATATAGAAAGAACACACATATTACTAATGAAGTTTTTTCATACCGAGGAAGGAGTCGTGGCCGACAGCTAGCTTAAAATATTATGAAGGAAAAGACAAAAGGAAGAAAACACAGATATAAATATATCTACATTCAATATAAACTAACAACTAATATATTTTCTTTAAGAGCACTGTAGTAGGAAAGCTTGAGATTAAAATCTTTACAAACTGTAGTAAAAGAGAAAATCATTTTAAACTTTCCCATATATGAGAATATGTGCATTGTGCAAGTTTTATTGTAAATATCTTCTTTGAAAGTATTATAGTGAAGTCTATTTGAAACAGAATTATTGAATCTTGGATCATATTTTTAAATAGTTTCTTGTTTCGACTGTTCGGAATAAAAAAAAATGGTTAAATTTTTCATCTTCTTCCAGACTAAGCTCTACATATATGCTAAACTTGATCGAGATCCATACAGTCTTTAACGAGCTTCCTTCTAGCAACCATAATTCCAATGATATAAACTTTCACATTCTACTCGTACTAATCTTACTAATATTCTAAATGCGAAAGTTTAGATGGACTGATGGGTGGATGTATGGATGTTTGTTTCAGTTTGTAGCCTAAAAGGCTGAAAGCATCGGGATGAAATTTGGGATAGATGAAAGGCATTGTCTGAAAGAACACATAGGATACTTGCTTTTGTTTTCAAAGTTAGTAATAGAATGGATGAAAATAATCCTTTGATTTAAAATGTACTGTTAACATTGATAACATTGAAAATAGTTCAATAATAGTATTTGTAAAAAACAATTGTTTCACAGGTTGATGAAAGATTGATCGAACCTCACGGTACTTGGAATGTCCACCGTCACCACCACGGTATGCCGCTGTCCCTCACCAACTCCTCTCTCCACTTCCCACTGTCCAGTCTCCAGCTGTTCCCCAACCAGACAGTGGAGATAACCTGCCTCAGTACGATACCGAGCTACGCTAACCTCGGGGAAGGGTTTGCTGATCTACAAAATCATACGGTTACAGGTGAGATGTAGTTTTATTAATAACCAAAACATCTAGGTTTATGAAACAGTTAACTTGCTAAAAAAGGAAAGGATCGTATTAGAACATGCCTCTAGTACTCATCAGATAGAACGGAATTACTGTTATTTGCCAGTCTTTTTACTGTCGTAGTTTTATAGTAATCCTAAAAGAACTGTACTGAATATTATTCCATACTAGTATAAAGACATACTGGACAGAGACAGTGTGCGCTGAGCCTTATGTTATTTTTCAGTTAACGTTATACGTATGGAACCGCCGCCCACTCAACTGCCAGTCAAGATAATAAGTCCTGAACATAATTCTTCTAATATCTACTATAGTCAATGTGTGCTAATATATTTCATGTATTTGATGTGCTATTTTATTAAGAGACAGTAAAATTACTGTAGTGATTTATTGAAATGTATTTTTTAAATTACATATATGTGTTTAACTAAATTTGATTTCTAACAATCTCTTTATGCAAAATAATTTAGAGCCATAATCTGAAAGGTTTGAAGATAATTTAGTAAAATTCTATTGATTACCTGATTATGTAAATTAAATTGGTCAGATACATTTATGTTGACGATTATGTCGACGAATAAAATTATCATCAAAGATGTGGCCTATTAATAAAAATCATGGTTAATTTCGATTTTATTTAAAAGAGAATATTAGGCTTTAAAGCTTAAACACATGCTTTTTAATCTATGTATAATTTAATTTTAATATAATGGGTACATTTTTTTATTACACTTTTGTACGCGAAATTATGAGACTGATATATAAAAATAGGCGTACTAACAATTGCTAAGAACAGGAAACATATTTAAAAGATGAAACACAGAACAGTATTGCTATCTCAGTTTTTGCTATAAGAAACAGAGAAAAAAAATGTTTACTCCAAGTGCTTGACTGACTGACCCTTGATCACAAACAAAATGTCCCGTGCAAAAAGTCACGGAGGCTTTTAAAGGGTTAACCATAAAACTATTTCTATTAACCAGACGCAGCTAACGTGATTGTCAACCAGAGAGATTAAAAGAATATATAGAGGAAGCATAGTTGGCACTTCATTTGAGACATTTTTTACATGATCCTCACTAACGCTATCTATTAATAATTATATTTGATGTAATTAATTTTATTTTAATGAACTCCCAATAGATCAAATTTAATCACATTTAAATGTGTATATTTTATTTTGTGACGCTGTTTACTTTTTTATAACAAAAGATGGCGCTGACTGTAATTTTGTAAAATGTTTTATAACATGTCAATACAAGGACATAAGGTTGCGTACTTGATAACTAACATAGTACCTTTCAAAGAAGTTACCGATCAAAAAATATTGTTCACTATGTCCACTCTATATATTTCTTTAATGTCTTTGTTGTCAACATTACATAAGGTTAATAAGACACTTGATTTTATATGCAAAAATATTGTGTTGTAGTTACAGAAAATCGTGCTACAAGTCCGATTATGGTATAACTAAGTAAAGCTAAGTAAAGCCCCAATTCAATTTAACCCATTACTGATTCCTAATACATTCTTTTTAACAACCCTGTAAATATTTTTTGTTTCGAAGACAAATTTTAACCAATATATTTCATTATATGCTTATTACAATGATGTTAGAATTTTTTTTATTTTATTGGTTAATATTTTAAACAAAGTGATAACTTATATAGAAATCCTCTGCTGTAACTTAGGAAGAAATAAATGTAAATGAGAAATTATGTAAATTACCTAATGTTAATATTTTATTTTTGACCTTGTAACAGATTAAAACCTTTTTATTTATCTTTAAGTTCTAATTAGTTGTTATAATTTTGGGTAGCATATCTAATTATATGGAATGAATTTGTTATTTTGAAAAGAAAATTTACATAAATTAAAAAGATATATAAAAAATGTTAGCATTAAACTGTCAAAATATTTCTAAAGTGTTGTATTTGTTTTATTGAAATTATTGCTTGATTTTATTTAAAAGGCGTATAATGCTGTATTTATAAGATTCATAAATAAATTATTTTTATTATAATTTAAATTTTAGGAGCAATTATGTAACTAAACATATCATTAGGAGTGAGTATAAAATAGAGATTTAAACATATAAATGTTGTGTGCATTTGAAATTATAAGCGTATATTTTGATCTATTTTTCTGAATGTCTGTCTTTATGTAAAGGTACTTATCAACGTTACGGGGTGTAACATTGTAAACAAGCATTCATGTAGCTCTACGTCAATCGCACTTATTTCGTGTTACACCCCGTAACCTAGGTGTCCACCTTGAATGTTTAAAAGCCTTTAGGCCGGCCTTTATTACAATGTTTAGCGAGTAATGAATGTCAACTAATTTGTTTGAAAAATCTTCAAATACTTTCCAGCTTCGATATTAAAGTTTACAAAATCTGATAAATTTCTATAAAAAAAATACTTTAGTGATTCTTATGATTAGTAATAATGTTGTTTTTTAATGTATTTTAGAAGTTACAATATAATGTATTGTTTATAATATTTGTTTAATTCGTTTTAGTTTTACAACAAAAGCTTCTATTCATTTTGTAGTGTTTTAATTTTTTTATAAAAAAAAAAAAATTATCACTTTATTATTTTAACCTTTTATAGACATTCTTGTAAATATTATTATATTCAATTGTTAACAACAAAATTAATAATTGTTTGATAGAACAAAATATGAATCTTGGAAAAATATTTTACGGTAAATGTTGAAATTCGTTTATAGGTAGCTCGAAATGTATTAGTCCAATTTCTACTATTATTTTTGTGTAAAAATAGTATTTTAAAATTTTCGAATTATTACTGCAACTAAAAGTAGTTCATACAATATACCGATTAAACATCTAATTGGTTTAATCTGTTTGTTTTTCTATGATTAAATATATGATAGAGACTTAAAAAATGTATAGAGTTGATTTTTTTTATTTTAAAGCCGATTTTTTAAATTATTATCTGTGACACTTGCAAATGTTAAATTGAGTTGTAGTAGATTTTTTAGTTATGTTAGCTTAGAAATTAATAGTTTTTATTTCGTATTTTGAAAGATTATCGTTATCTAAACTATGTTTTCGATGGATAAATTATGCAGGCTATTGATGTCTTCCTCGTTGCTATACTCTTTATAAAACTTTAAGTGTACTATGTATATGTTAGATTTAATTATAGATATATAGATACGAGATTACTTATGACACAGTATAGTTTAATATAAGTACTTATGTATAAATCGAATTGCTTTTTTTACTGCTTTACTTGCTGTCAATTGCATAATTGTTATTTAAGATCGCTTCACACAGATGTCGATTTTTAAACTAACCTAAAACAAGTTCGATTTAATCAAACTTTCTTTTATTTCGTAAATAATCTATTCGTAATTAAAAGTGCTGCTTTTTTTCACAGTAGAGATTAAAGATTTATAAAAGGCAGACGATTTTCAAGTTTAAGAGGTGTGCAAATCTGAAACTAAATAATCGCACAAATGGTTAGTCTTGCTCTTAATCCAAATAAGCTTATATGGCGTAAACTACTCGATATTTATTATGCAACGAACAGTTGAATAGGTTGCGAAATCGACAATCGCAACAGTTGTGCGATATTTTAGTTTCAGGTGTGCACACGCTCTTAACAGCCTTTATGTTAGGGTATGGTACAGTAAAGGAAAAGCTTATCTAATCTTCATTCGTCGTCTGTGTGAGCGATATGTGAAAATCGCTTATCAATGTTGTACCGTCGTCGGATCAGTCCAGAGATTAAATGTAAGACAGTATGTACTTTCACAACCAGTCATATTTCCTTACGAATTAAATAGTTTGTATTTTGAATATAATATTGGTTGAATAAAAGATTATCTTTTGTTTCAATTAAAGCACATTAGGCCCTAATGTTTGATTGTATGTTCGATCTTAAGATTGGCATTTTTAATGTAAGTTTACTATGACGTAACATCTATCCAAAAAAAATGTTTCTGTTTTATCAAAGACAGTAGAGATGGTAATCTTTTTGTGTTTATGCAATGGAAACTTACGTTTATAAACTTTGTATACTGTACTATTGTGAAGGAATATTTTGATGAAATACTAATAGAATGTTTGTAAGAAAAATTATATAAAATTTCATAGGTAATTAAATTAGCCAAGCTGTAGCTGTATGGATACATGTTTGTATTTGCGTTTATCGTGTACGCTGTACGCAGCTGCTGTGCTGTATTTGTATGGAAATGTCTAATATTTACAAAAAATGTGAAATTTTATCTCTTTATAAAATAAATGTATTACACGTTCGATTTACACATCATTTCGTTTTATTTCTTTAACGTTTTTAACTGGGTTGTGCAAATGTTTATATTGAAACGAACTAAGGGAATCGGAACGAATTCGTTTATTTGAATTATTTACACCCTGTAAATAAATAAAAAACAAATGAAGAGTGGTCTTATGAAAACAGAGTATTTTGTCGCTGTTGCTAAATTCAAAGTCATTTTTATTTAAAGTCATTTTTATTCATTTATGTGCCCTTTATCTACTTTAGTCAAATTTATTTTATACTTTCTGAGTTCTTTGAAATCTCCAGAACGATTTAAAATCATGACTCAAAGTCGATTCGTATTATTAACAAAAATATTATTAAATACTTAGGACCTGTCACACCAAATTGCAAATTGTCTGATAATCCAACGTGTAAAATATGTCATGGAAATATCTGATTTTGTTACCTTATCCGACAGTGACGCAATTTTTAACCTATCTGAGTCTCTATCAGCCAGTGGTGGGACAGGCACTAACAAATTCCTACAAAACGTACTAACAAGCGTCACTAGAGTGTTCACGTTTTGTCCGTTATATAAACAGTATAACAGAAGTAGGTAAGTAAAAAGTGTAATAATAGCTTCAGGAGTTTTAGCCGTGTTCCGTGAGCTGGAACGCTTATCTACGACCTTAGGCTACCATTACGAAAGTGAATTTACATTTTATCACTTTGTAACAAACGTTCTTTGTCCACAGGCATTGCTTAAAATAGTATAAGTTCAAGTTACAATTGTAATATTTAAAACTATGTTTTAAGCAGCTTTACTTACAATAGAAAATATCGGGAAATATTAACCTTGACACATTATCTGAGGTAACATAAAACTTTAAATAAACAAGGAAACTTTATTATAATCTTACATAATGTTATTTTAAGTTGAAATCACAATACAAGTACAATAAGTACAAATGACAACTGTAGTCAATTTCATAAGAAATTTAAACCAAAAATAAAATAGGAGTAAAGTAAAATAAAATCGGAGTAATTATAAGACAGTACATTCAAAACAAATTATGAAGCGAGTATAGATCGATTAGGATATCTTGGAAGCAAATAAG